TAAAGTGCAGTGGCACGCTCACAGCCACTGCAACCTCGACCTGCTGGGCTCAGGCAGTCCTTCCACCTCAGCCTTCCAAGTAGCTGGAACTACAGGCACACGCCACCATGCCCAGCTAATTTTTTGATTTATTGTAGAGATGAGGTCTTGCCAAGTTGCCAAGGCTGGTCTCGAACCTGTGGGCTGAGGCAATCCTCTTACCTCAGCCTCCCAAAGTGCTGGAATTATAGGTGTGAGCCACCATGCCCAGGATCTTTGTAAATTTTATGGTCAGCCTGTTAATTTCTACAAAAAGCCTGCTGGGATTTTGCTTGGAGTTATTTAGGGAGAACTGAAAACCTGATATTCATAAATATGGGATATCTCTCAGTTTATTTTCATCTTCAATTTTGCTCAACAGTGTTTTATACTTCTGAGAGTATTCCTGGGGTTTTTTTGTTTTGTTTTGTTTTCTTGGAGCATGGTTAGTGAGGATCTAGGCAATGGAGGCCTGTTTTTGTTTTGAGTCAGGCTTTCACTCTGTCTTCCAGGCTAGAGTGCAGTGGCATGATCACAGCTCACTGCAGCCTCAATCTCCTGGGCTCAGGTGATCCTTCTGCCTCAGCCTTTCAAGTAGCTGAGACTACAGGTGTGCACCGCCACGCCCAGCTACTTTTTAAATTTTTTTGTAGAGACAAGGTCTTGCTATTTGCCTAGGATGGTCTAGAACTCCTGGGGTTAAACAATCCTCCCACCTCGGCCTCCCAAATTGCTGGGATTACAGGCATGAGCCACCATGCCTGGCTGGTATTTGATTTTTTTTTTTTGAGTTGGAGTCTCACTCTGTTACCCAGGCTGGAGTGCAGTGGCACACTCACGGCCACCCCAGCATCAACCTCCTAGGCTCCAGCGATCCTTCTGCTTCAGCCTTCCAAGTAACTGGAACTACGGGCATGCACTACCACACCCAACTAATTTTTTTGACTTATTGTAGAGAAGAGGTCTCACCAAGTTGCCTGGGCTGGTCTCAAACCCGTGGGCTCAGGTATCCACGCGCCTCGACCTCCCAAAGTGCTGGGATTACAGGCTGAGCCACTGAGCCCAACCAGATTTTTTTTTTTTTTTAGAGACAGGGTCTATGTTGCCTAAACTGGCCTTGAACGCCTAGACTCATAATCCTCCTGACACAGCCTCCCAAAGTGCTGGGATTATAAGTGTGAGCCACTACACCCAGCCCGGCATTTTATTTTTTGATGTTATTGTAAATGCAACTTTTAACATTATTTCATTTTACCAATATCCATTGCTATAGAAATATAATATTTTTTTAATCATATGTCCTTCACCTGTTAGCTTTCATTTTTTGTTTGAAGATTCCTTAGGATTTTTCACAATCACGTCATCCTTGGGTAATGACAGTTTTAATTCTTTCTTTCCAAGCTTTATGTATTTTTTTTCTCCCTCTATACTGGTTCGGACCTCCAATAAGATGACAAAGAGAAGCAGTGAGAGTGGAAAGCCTTGTCTGTCCCCAGTCTTAGAGAGAGAGAGTTCAGTATTAGATCATTAAGTAGGATGCTGGCTGTATTTTATCTATGTTGTTGAACTTGCTAGCATCAATTTGCTCATAATGGCCCTTTATAGTACATCAGTGTCTGTAGGGTCTACAGTGAGGTCTCCTTTTCTTGACCCTGATATGGGTAACTAGGCCTTGGCTGTCTTACTCTGTCTTTTCTCAGGGTGTCTTTGGGACTGGCCTCTCCCACGTCTTGGTACTCTGAGCTTTACCCAGGGAAGATACAGTGGCCCATTGTTATTACGGAGTTTCAGGATTCTGAGGGTGTTTCTCAACATACCTGGGGGCAGAAGCTAGATTTCAGCAGACCTAGGCTGTGCAGTTTAGGAGAGCTTGTAGGTTAGGGGAGCTTATTCTTGAAACTCAGTGAAGATTAATGGGATTTACAAGGCAGCACCAGATTTTTGTTTAGGGGAAGACTGTGAGGTGGCCTCATTTGTGGGAAAGCACCTGAGAACGTTTTACAGTCTTCAGCATTTATAGTGCTGTGGAAATGGGTTGTTTTGCCTGTCTCCTGGGGAGGGACCCTCCCCAGATGCCTCAGTTGGAGTTTTAACCCCAAATTCTCCAGTCACTTGTTGGCAGCTAAGCTATTGGCTTTCAGTCAGCAATGGCTGGTCTCTGCCCTCTTCAGGTGACAGACCTGGCTTGCTTTCTGGAATTTCAGAGTTTTTGTGTGTGGGAGGTGGCACACAGCACCCAGCTGTCCCTTGCCTAAAGTGATGCTGGCTCCTCACCACTCCCAAATTTCCCTACTGTCTGGCATATGTTGGTAGTTTACCAGTGTACATTGGTGTGTGTGTGTGTGTGTGTGTGTGTGTGTGTGTGTGTGTGTGTGTGTATTTTGCTGAATTCCCCTTGGTTCACTGAGTGGAACCTCCTGGGCTCAGGAGGGGGTTCCCAGACTGGCTGCTTCCGCTCACCGTTCTTTGTCTCCCAGATCAGCTGCTCCACGACACTGCATTTCCCCAGAGGGGAATGGCCACTGCTGTTCTCATGGATGTGTCCCAGGTGGGCCAGTTGGTTGTTGAGCACAACCTTCCCTCTGCCCTGCAGGCTGCCCAAGGCCCCAGCCCACATATGGTGAGAGCTCTCTAGGCATTGCACCTGTGCTTACCTTTTTTGCTAGTTCTCTTTTATGGGGGTGGGGGAAGAAAAATTGATTTGTTTCCATTAAGAGAGCAGTAGATGTTATAGGAAACTTGGAAAATATACTTGATTTTCTTAGGTGTTATCTGAGTCCACTGGAACTGCCATAATAAAATGTCACAGAGTGGCTTAAACAACATACATTATTTTTTTTCTGTTCTGAAGGCTGGACGTCCAAGAGCAAGGTGCTGGCAGATACAGTTTTTGGTGAGGGCCCTGGCTTGGAGACAGTTGTTGTTATGCTGTGTCCTCATATGTCTGTGGAGAGAGCTGGGGAGCTCTCTAGTGTCTCTTGAAAGGACACCAGTCCTATTGGATCAGGGCCATACCCTTATGACCTCACTTAACCTTAATTACTTCCTTAGAGGTCTCATCTCCAAATATACATGAGGGCTTAGGGCATCAGCATATGAATTTGTGGGACACATTCAGTTCATAACAGGGTTATTTCCCTTACTTTTTTTTTTTTGAGTTGGAGTCTCACTCTGTCACCCAGATTGGAGTGCAGTGGCCGCTCCCGGCCACCGCAGCCTTGACCTGCTGGGCTCCGGCGATCCTTCTGCCTCAGCCTTCCAAGTAGCCGGAATTACAGGCATGTGCTACCACGCCCAGCTGATTTTTTTATTTATTGTAGAGATGAGGTCTCACTGCCCAGGTGGGTCTTGAACCCACGGGCTCAGGCAATCCACTCACCTCAGCCTCCCAAAGGCACGGGATTACAGGCTGAGCCACCGAGCCCGGCTATTTTCCTTACTTTATCTGTGGTCTTCCTTGGAGACCATCTATCTCCTTCTCCCCTTCCAGCCCAGACATATAGGGTTTAGCTTTCTCTTTCTTGGGAGCGGCTGGTTCTGGAGCTATCTGTGTTGCAGGAGCCAGTGACCTTTGAGGACGTGGCCATATACTTCTCAAGGGAGGAATGGGAGTGTCTGGATTCTGGACAGAGGGCCCTCTACCGGGATGTGATGTTGGACAACTTCAGGAACCTCGCCACGCTGGGTAAGGACTGTGCTATTTGGTCTGGGATGGTATTGGGGCCTTGAGTCCCAGCCAAGGGGACTCATGAGCTGGAAGTTCTTGCCTGTGTGCATAGAAGGTTCTACTCAGCACCCAGTCTGGTCAAGGGCATTTCCCTCAACCTCCCTGGAGGCAGCCCCATCTTCCTTTCTCATACCCCACCAGGGCCTTCTGTGGACTTTGGCACCCAGACTCTATTCTCCCTTCCTGTCATCTCTGCTATGAGACAGCTTTTCTAGGGAATCCCCGAGGGCTGGCCTGCCCTCTCTTATGCTGACCCAGAGCTGGTCTAAGCCCCTCACTCTCACTCTGCCTTTTATACAAATAAAGCAGCACTTTTTCTCTCCTTTGAGAAGGATTTCGCAGCTCTAGACCAGACTTCGTCTTTCACCGGGAACAGTGGGATGAGCCATGGGTTGAAGACTGGGGGAGACCTGAGTTTCAGAAAGTGCAGAGGGGTCCTTGCCCAGGTGAGCACAGTTGGCCCAGTCCCTCTGTCCACAGCTACTGGGTGAATGTGCTCAACATAGCACCCACTGAGGGTCTGCCCTTCCCTGTGGGAGAGTGGACATGAAACTGCTCTCTAAATTAGAGACTTTAAAAACATAGGGGGTAGCCATGTTCTTCTATTGATAGGCACTGACTGTGCACCAGGAGCTGGAGAAGTGGGGTGGTTCAGGAGGGGGGTACAGCTGTAGCTCCACGGGGGCCCAAGGCTGGACCTTGACACTGGAAGGCTGACCTGCCCAGGTGCTGTCATTTGGAGATCCTGGATGTGGGTGTTTTCAGCTTAACTGTGATGGCCTCATGGTGTCACGGGTGAGATCACAAACCTGATACCTACTCCATGTGAGGGTCTTCAGGTGTGTAGCCTTGGGTGGGACTTAATTCCATGTACCTGCTGGCTTGTTTGTAAACTGGGACAATAGTGGTGCTTCCATCCATTACATGAGGTGGTAGCCAGAGAAGTTTTGTTTTTTACGTCAGATTCTCAGAGATGAAGCAACTTGTGGACATGACACCAATTGAGAGGCTCTTGGGCTGTGTGGATTCCCTGGCTGGGGAGGGTGTCAGGTCTCTTAGCCATGTAGAGCCCTTGGCTGGGGAGGGTATCGGGCCCCTAGCTGAAGGAAATCTTATGGCTCAAAGGGTGAGTGGTTCAGAGTTATGTCGAGCTCCATGTCTTCCGATTGCCTGCCCTGGTGCCACCTCCACCCATGTGAGCAGGGCCTTATGACATGAACAGGCACAAGTTTAAAGGACACACTCTTTGTCCTACTTGGCATATTTGTTTCTGTAGGTAGGTTCGCCTGTGTAGGTGATATTGGGCCATTTAAACCAACTTGTAGCAGTCCCTCACCTCAAAAACACCAGTTTGCCTAACTGCTACCTAGTCTGGGTAAGCATCTGAGTTCATTTTATGTTTTTCGCTGTTTATAGTTTTAGCTCATCTATGTGCTTCTTTGAACACATTTTCTTTATCACTCATAGGCCACAGATTTTTGGAATGAACTCCCTAAGTAGACTGAAGTGAGTTGATGTAACATATTTGTAGCTTTCCTTTATGCTTTTTTGGTTTGCCACTGCGTGACCTGGCCTGGCCATGGGGCCATCGCTCCATGTAAACATGTCTGTTTTCCTCTGTAGGGGCAAGGAAATCTTTGGCCCACAAGAGACACTGTGATCGGCTGACTTGGGCTCATGAGAAAATCCACATGCGAGAAAGGGTCAAGGAAGGAGGCAGCTTTAGGAAGAGCTTCACTCTGAACTCAGATAATGTGCAGCTTCCTAATGCTGCTTCAGAAAACAAAGACCCTAAGCCTGCAGCATTCCAGTGCAAGGTGCGTGGAAAGTGCTGTGGGCATCAGTTAGGCCACAGGGAGCACCAGAAGTGCCGCACCACAGAGCTCTCGTTCATCTGTGGCACATGTGGGAAGGTATTGAGCTGCCACAGCCGGCTGGTCGCTCACCAGACAGTACACACAGGGACCAAGGCCTTTGAGTGCTCTGAATGTGGCCAGACCTTCAGGTGGGTTTCAAACCTTCTGCGCCACCAGAGAAATCACACAACCGAGAAGCCCTTCAGTTGTGAGGTGTGCGGCCAGGCCTTCAGCTTGAAAGATCGCCTTGTTCAGCATCGTAAGATTCACACTGAGCACAGGCCCTACTTGTGTGGTGACTGTGGGAAAGCCTTCAAGCAGAAGTCAAACCTTCTTAGACACCAGCTGGTACACACTGGGGAGAGGCCTTTCTATTGTGCTGACTGTGGCAAAGCCTTCCGGACCAAGGAGAACCTCAGCCACCACCAGAGGGTTCATAGTGGAGAGAAGCCTTACACCTGTGCCGAGTGTGGCAAGGCCTTCCGGTGGCCCAAGGGCTTCAGCATCCACCAGAGGCTACACCTGACAAAGAGGTTCTATGAGTGTGACCACTGTGGCAAAGGCTTCCGCCACTTGGGCTTCTTCACACGCCATCAAAGAACTCACAGACATGGGGAAGTATAGAGTTGCTCACAGGTGTTGGGTTCTGCACCTCTGTAGGAGTACTGGGCCTTGAGGAAGAGTTGTAATGAGAAGTCACTCTTTAGCCTGGAAAATCAACTTGAAAAGAAGCCGCCTCAGTCTTCAAAGCTTCCCAAACCCCCCAAAAAGTTCTACCAGGAAAACTGCCACACAGGAGAAGCAGATGCATGAGTACACCAGGGAGACAGCAGTAGCTGTACCCATGGTGCAGAGCACCCTGGGGATGCACAGTGTGTGCGCCAAGATCCTGTGCAGCCCTAGAGCCACACCAATCCTGGGCTCAGATTCAGAAAACTCTACTCTGTGCCTGCGGCTGTCTCAGCTAAGAGACTCCATCTCAGCCCCAAAGGTCACTCCATGTATACTTTAACTTTCCTTCTTGGCTCCTCCTCACCTGTGTTCACTCCCCGGTCTGTCTTTCCTTCCTGTCTGTCTTTGGCAAGGTAGCTGTGAGCGTTGCACAGAAGCAAAGCCCCTCCTTCAACCACAGCAAGTGCTACTTAGAAATGAGAACCTTTCTAATATTGTGAGCTCACTGAAGGATTAGGAGAAGATCTCAGTTCACAACCAGAGTTGTGGTTAGCAAACTCTGCATGTGGGGAAGGCATTCAATCTGGTGACTGCAGGACTGTGTGGACAGTCACAAGTTTGTTGAAACCACATCATCACAGCACCATTCCTCTGGTGCAGCTTCTCCAGTTGAAACTGATTCTTGGATATTGGATCTTTGGTAAAACAGCACTGCATATTGCTTGTCTCTGTTTATGTTAATATATGGATCTGGGAATGCTTTGTTGTGTCATGTGACCACAGAGGACCCCGCATGGGGGTCTGGGTAACCCTTCCACTTCAGACCTGATCCTTTGTACCCAGAACAGAGCTGAGGTGGAATGTACTGGTGAAGAGAGTAATGAGACTCCTGATGCTCCTGTCAGAGCCTATGCTTGGCCATGGGGGTGTACACGTGAGGAGTGAGGCAGAGGACCTGTTGTGGCCTGTGAGGACTGGATGCTTCTCACTAAACCCTGAGATGGCTCCCAACCAGGGACTGCTGTGCTCAGCCCTGGGCCCCTCTGCTTCTAGGGCCTTTCTTAGAGTAAGTAAAATTTCCACAGTCACTACATATAGACTCTATGATGCCATGGTAGCCCCACTGGTCAGGTCAAGGCCTACCAGAAACTGCCTCTGCCTAGCTCCAGCGGTCCAGAGCCTTGGTCATGCACCTGAAATTGGCTAATCAAGTTGGGGCTTAGGGCAGTGAGAGGCCCCTATGTTCACCACAGGGCATTTCATGGGCAAGAGGTGACCTTTTTTTTTAAAGTATCTCTACTAATCCACCCAGAAATAAAAATCTTCCAAGTGGTGGTCATGAGGGCAGTGCCTCCTTGCCCTGAGGGGTACACCCCCCATTACGTCAGGTTATCCGAATAGTTGACGAAGAATTTTGCTCTCGCTTGTTTTTTTTTAAAAATTACAACCAACAAATGCACATGTAATGTTGAAATTAAAAATGAGTTTTCAAGAAATAGGGGGAGGAAGAGCAGATTCAACCCACCAAGAGAAGGCACCAAGCCAGACCAACAGGAAGGTGTAGACAAATGACCTTTCCCCAGGAAATCAGAGGCATGAAGAAAAGTTGAGTGGGGCTGTGCATGACCCTGATTTGAGCAAACCAACTATGTGAAGGCATTTTTGAGACATGGAAATCTGAACTTGGTCTGTATATTGGGCAGTGGTAAAGAGTTTGCTGGGTTGATAATGTGGTGGTTAATCAAAAATCAGCCAGGCGTGGTAGCACACACCTGTAGTTCCAGCTACTTGGAAGGCTGAGGCGGAAGGATCGCTGAAGCCCAGCAGGTCGAGGCTGCGGTGGCCAGAAGTGGTCACTGCACTCC